AAGTGGTATTAAATATAACGAAATTTAATAAATGTTGCAGAGTTAAAATTGTGAGTGTTAAATACTGCTAGGTGATACTGCTAGTATAAACCGTGCACTTTGCCATAACTTGAGGTGTAGAATCAAAATTTGGAAAAGAATTGGTATATTGTTTCAGATAAAGCCCGATTTTGGGTCAAAATGCATATGTTAGAACAACTCTCTGTATAAATCTTATATAAGTCTTAAATTCCATATCTGAGACCTGAAAAACACAAGTTCTTGATTTCATTGATCAAAGAACTGTCCACCCCTATTTTTTACATTTTTACTTTCATGCTCAACTTTAGCATTACCAATAGCCATCTAATTTAATCATATCTTAACTCATATATGTATTCCGTTTTAAATGTTGGAGGGTATTTATACTACACTCATGTCCATAAATTAAGGATAATTTGGAGTCACGCGGAAATCGAATTCTAAAATAAATATATCACATGTAAAATCACTACACACATCTTCAAGAATCATATGCAAATTTCAGGAAGTAACCAGATGACACCGATGGTACGTCACAATGACGAGAGTGTAAGAGAGTGATATATAAGGAATACAGGCAAAGAAGTAAAATTGTTTCGCAGGCACTTTATAAGCATTTCAGTGCAATAACCAAATAGTTATGACACAAAGGACGCATTTGGATGATTTTTTACGTGGTAGAATTATCGGCCGTCTGGAATGTGGGCGTACCCAACTGGAAGTATCAGACGAACTTGGAATTGCCCAGAGTGTCATCTCCAGGCTTTGGTAACAATTTCATAATGATGGTAATGTGAGTAGACGTTACAGCACAGGTCGCCCCAGAGTTACAACGGCGAATGAAGACCGGTATTTGGCAGTTACTGCCAAAAGAAACAGGCGGAGCACAGCCTCAGACCTGTCTCTTCAGCCACTGGTATGACAATTTCAAGGCAGACCGTGTACAGACGCTTAGGGCAGATTGGTCTATATGCTATGCATTCCACTTACTGCAACTCGCTGTCGCCTGCGGTTAGCCTGGAGTAGAGAGCATGCACTGTGGACACTGCAACAGTGGGCTTGTGTGATGTTTTCCGACGAGTCCAGGTTTAGCTTGCAGTCTGATTCTTGCTGGACTTTCATATGGAGAGCTCCAGATACCCGTTACCACCAAGAAAACATCATTGAACGACACCATTACGGTGGTGCAGGAGTGCTCGTTTGGGGTGGAATTATTCTGGGTTCCAGAACTGACCTGCATGTTCAAATTGGAACCATGACAAGCCAATCTATCGGGACGTCATTCTGGAACAACATGTACGTTTGTTTCGGGGCGCCATGGGCGCACAATTTGTGTTTATGGATGACAACGCCCGTCCTCACCGTGCAAACATCGTAAGCGAATGCCTTCAATCGGAGGATATCACCCGTATGGACTGGCCAGCATTCTCACCGGACTTGAATCCAGTAGAGCACGTGTGGGATATGCTTGGTCGACGAGTTGCAGCCCGTCAACCTCCTCTACATGTCTACCGGAACTTCGGAGAGCATTGCTTTTTGAGTGGTGTAATATCCCCCAAGATCAGATCGATAATTTGATACTCAGCATGCCTAGGCGTTGTACGGACTGTATTGCATCGTCTGGGAGACATACAATGTATTAACAATCATACCAACCATGTAATATTGGTTTTTTGTAAATAGGTTTTTTTTTTTTTGTAATTTGCTCCAGGGAGAAAAAATCGCTAATTTTTTAATAATATCAAACATATAGCATCCTTTTTGCTCTTTACCTTTTGTTTAATAAATAAGCTTTACAAATAAGTCAAATTTGTTTTGCTTCTAACTCTTCCTTTGCCTGATTTTGCATTATCCTTAATTTATGGACATGAGTGTATAAGGTATTTCTCCCGCCTTCTTAGCATGCCTTCGTAGTGTAGTGGTCTGCATGCTGGACGCATATTCCAGAGGTCCGTGGTTTGATTCCCGGTGAGGGCGTTGCTCATTTTTCACCTCTTCTGCTTCCAAAAATATACCTAATGTCTCTACAGTACTTTTGCATTCTTTTTATGATTTCATAATACAGTCAAAAGTCGTTAATCCGGACTCGTTGGGACTTCGGCGATTCCGAATTATCGATTTTTCTGGATTATAGATCATCAGTTTAAATATGGCAAAATGGCATGCAGAAATTACAAAATTAAAAATATGAATCCAAAATTTATGAAATAAAGAACAATTATGATCTAAAGGGTATCAAAATATACTAAAAGAAAAAGCTTAATATTTATTTGTTTACTTTATTAAACATTTCTTTTAATGTAAGTTTGTTTAAGTTGCTTCATTCATGTGACAATACTTTCTCTTTAATTCTATTAAACAGACATAATTTCTTGTTTGGTTACAAAGTTCCGCTGTTCAAGACCTATAATTGCTGTGTCGAGAATACCGACTAATTTGTCAATTGAAATGTTTTCATTTTCAATAACCTCTCTGTCACTTTCTTCACTATCGGAAGTGAATTATAATGACGAGGAACTTGATTTAAATCATATCAAAGATGGAGTACATCGAAATGAAATACTACATTTAGTAAGGAATTATAAGCCAAATACAATAAAAACATCTACCCTGAAGATAAGGAGGTACTTACATATTAACGCAACCAGGCCAAAATTCGCATAAATTGCAAAATTTGGCGACCCTACTTACGGCAACCCTACGTGTTATATGTAGTTTTGTAAAAAGAGCATGTGGAGATTCACAAAATTTTCCTGCATTTTCGTGCAAATTTTTGTAATTTATGAGAAATAGCAGTGTACATGGATATAGTGAAGAGTGTGCGCAATGCCCATTTTTGTGCAATTCTGGGATGTTTTTTTAAGTAAAAATAAGTCGACGTGTACATGGTTATGGCGAATACGGTTTTCAATCAGTGCTAAAAGCAATAGCCAAAAGATTTCCGCCGAAAAAATAATTCTGCAACTTGTTCAAATTCGAAACCGGAAGGGTTTAATTGCTATTTTATATTTTAAAACAAAATAATATAAAAAACTGTATTAAAAATTATCTGTAATTAATAAATGTACATTTTCTTTCTATTCATACTTTTTTACTCAAACTTACAAAAAGCGTCAACCTGGTTGCGATAATACGTAAGTACCGACAAGGGTAATGCTGACAGATCAAATTCCAATTCATTGCGCGTCGCAGCATTCCCCCCGCTGAGCAGCGTGAAATTGATAAACATATTTTGGATTTCGAAACATACTTTCGCTTTAGATCCTTTACATATTAGCAAATATATATCGGAACTTCTATTTGATATAATCGAAAGTTAAGCTTACTTTTATAAAATTGCTGTAACAGTCTGCAAAAAATAATAAGCCGGATCCAATTTGAAGATTAAGGAACAACACAATCTGCAACATTAACTGAATTGGATAATTTTAACTTAGCTTATACAGTCCATTATACGTTAAACGCGCATTCGTAAACGTATTATGCGCTTGCGCACACGTATATTTGCAGCCGTAAAGGTCTTACGCGCACGCATAAACGTCAAAGCGACGCATTCGCAGAAATTTTGTAGGTTTGAGGTCCGAATTATAGATCATTCCGGATTATGGGTGTCCAAATTAACGACTTTTAACTGTATTTGTTTGTATAAAAGTGATTTAAAGTTTTTTAATAATAAGTAAGTAAAATTTATAAATGAGATATGCTAGATGAATAACAAGAAAGGCCATGCAATTAACAAAGCAAAACATCAGTAATTTACCTAAAATTCTATTTTCTGTAGTTAAAAGAGCTGGCTGCATATAGCTAGTGATTTGCTTCATGAGTAACATAAATATAGCAAGTTTTTATTGGCAAATCATCAGTGTAAGCAGGTAACTATGGGACTGTATCATAATCAAGTAATGTCTCATTCCATCATTTTCTGTTGTACTTTTTTTTTAGGTGCAGATTAAACTTCTGCCACAGATATTTCCTGAAACAGGCTATGTATTACCATATTATATTAGTTTCCTTTTGTTGCCTAAGTGAGAATGTTAAAAAGTTTATCATATCTTTTCTAAATTCTACCATTAGAAGCAAAGTAACAGTTTTAGCATTTTGTGGGCCTGAGTATTACATTGTTCATTTTTTTTTTTTTTTTTCATTTTAATTGCCTGTGCAATAATGTCATTATTAGTAAGAGTGGCGAATCCAATAATTTTCCTTTCAGCATATTCAGAAGATTTTTTTAAGTGCTGATTTAATTAAAAATAAATTATCTTTAAGGATTGCACAATTTGGCAATTGCCAAATGATGGATAATCTCATCTAAACTCTTCCAAGACAAAGTTATCATCAATACTAAAAGATACATCCTTTCAGAAAACTACAAAATGAAATATATTATGGTACAAGAGGAGCACAAAAATGGGGCGATGAAAGATCATTTTGTGAAGAAAAAGGGGGGTTGAAAGCAGATGTTGCTTTGGCAGTTGCATTCCATTTCTGATTAAGTATTTGGTTTAGCTCATGTTGGCAGAATTCTGTCAACTGCATGTTGACTTCACAATTGTACAGGCATGAATTACTTTACACATGTAGATTAAAATAATTGCATATATTCTTATGTGTGAGTTTCTATATGTCTGTGTTTCTTAGATTTAATAAAAAAAGACTAGTCTTTTAATGAAGTTACATATATTGTTTGGATTGCCATTCCTATCTCTAGTTAGGTTTCATTCCAACATTTAATTTTGTTCCATGTGGTACCTTGTTAATCAAAAAGTACCAAGATATTCCAACTTTACTTAAAAAAATTATAAGCAGTATTCCTATTATGATTTAAAAAAAAATACTTTTATTCCTACTAGCTGATTGAAGATTTTTTAAAATTTATTCTAGCATTGTTTATATTTCTAATTTTCTCCTCATCAGCTGGTATATTTCATATTTATTGCAGTTGATTTATGTGCAATCTGAACAAATTTATCATGTTTTAGGGAAAATAGAGCTAAAGGAGGGGGAATATGCGTTGCCAATCACACTTCTCCTATTGATGTGGTGATACTTGCTTGTGACAACTGCTACGCACTGGTATGTATAAATTTATGTAGGGAGATAATTTAACTCTTTAAAAACTGTACATTATTCATATGATTTAAGAAGGAACTGAATGTTGGAAATATTAAAATTTTTCATAAGTTATTAAAAGAAACTAAGAAATTTGAGATTTTCGTCATCTCTATTTGTATAAAGTTTGTTGATATTTTTCTTTAAGGTTGGGCAAAAGCAAGGAGGCTTTTTAGGAATTCTTCAGAGGGCCCTTGCACGTGCTACTTCTCATGTGTGGTTTGAGCGATTTGAAATGAAAGACAGAGCACTTGTCACAAGAAGGTTGTTTAAAAAAATGTAGATTTTTAGTTTTGAAGGATTTATGAAAGAAATCTAATTTAAATGTTTTTTTTATCGTATTTAATTAAAGAGCTAAACAAACAAGTATTCTGTTAAGAAAGGGCTGCATATTTTCCTTTATTAATTCATTGTTGTCAATGCAAAATTTTTCACCTCTAAAGTAAATAAGAATGAATATTAGAATTTTTTTGCGATGCCATGCTCGAGCTATTTTGTTTCTTAGACAGGGTTCGAAGCGGTCCTTATAAGTGCTTATAAGTCCTTATACTTGAAAATAAAATATAAAGGCCCTTATAGGTGCTTACTTTTTCTTTAAAGCCCTTATTTTTTTGCTTTTAGTGCTTTTTTTTAAATGAATGCACAATTTTTCCCCGTACCAAAGACAAGACTAAATAAACAACTTTTCTTCCTAATATGGAATGTCAGATTGTGAATCATACTCCCGGAAATAGCTTTTCCCCCTTTCTCTGCATTAACATAACCTCTGGTGTGCGCAGAGAGTACAGACAGGTGCCCGTCGTTCTGTTGGTCAAAGAATTGCGAAAGCAGTAGAAAATTCCAGTACATTTGGCATTCTTTTTCCTCCTACCCAAATACTACACACGTTTGAATTTCTATAAATATCTTAATAATTTGCATTCTCGTTCCGCTTGGTCAGTTCATATTCAATTTTATTATGATATTATGATCGTTATGCTTATATTATGAGCTTATGTATGAATGTTTATAATAACATAGTTGCAGTAACTGCTGAAGTATAGTAAACTTCCAAAAATGGTTGTGTTTTAACACAGATTAGCTTTCTAATTAATAATATTCGGAATGACATAAATAAAGGGAAAGTAATCGAATAGTCAAAATAATTTCATTTTTTGGCCAATACATTATACAGTATGAAGGTCGGGAGGTTCTCCCCTTTCTCCGCAAAATCACGAATATTGAGACTGTTACAGTTCGTTGCAAAACAAGCAACGGACTTTTTTTTTTTTTTTTTTTTTTTTTGTCAGTCACTTTCCAATCTGGACTGAATAAGACTAAAAGTTTTGCGGTCTACCAACCCAAGCGAAGAATGATTCTATTCCGGAAATTTAACGCAGTCTGTTGAAAATTAGAATGAAAAACACCCCAAGTCTCTTTCTTTTCCTTGATTTAGTTCTTTATTCTCCCAATATCGGCAGCTGTTGAATCCAATTGCATAATATCATGTAGGGAAGAATTACAGCGCACATATTGCGCAATAACATTTGTGATATTTTGCAGAGATAATTAAGTTTGATGTTCGGTCCGAGATTTGTTTATGAACACTTAAAAGAGTTTTACTGTGCTTGCTAAGCAGAATATTTTTCTGTTCCGTTGGTTTGTTTTTATATGATGCACATATCGAAATGTCAAAAGCATTTATTTAGCGGAAAAATCTAAAGAACGGCTACAGTCTATCCCCCCCCTCCGCTCCTCTTTTTCAAGTTACGCTCGACCGTCCGAATATTCGCCAATTTTCAAGTATGCGGGTAGTTAAGCTTTTACTGTTAAAGGATGACTGCACGAAGCAAATTTCTGTCTTCTGATTTCAGAAATGTTCCTCTTTTTTTACTTAAATTACTTTGCTTGCAATATCTGTTAAGGGAAAACTGATATACGATGAAAATTTAGAAAATGTTCAGAATTTAGATTTAAATTAGTTAAATATCAATATGAGTGGAAAAATAAATTGCATTTATTATTAAGTTCCAAGCGAATAGAATAAATATGCCTTATTATTATTTATTTCCTCTATTTTGAACTGAAATTTCATCATTAAATCTTGTAATATAGTTTAGTTGTGCATAGTTTTTTTTTCCTCTTATTGTAAACTAGTTCTGTAAATTGAACTGTTATTTAAAATTTTAAAAAAGTAATTATTTTCCATGGTTGAGGTTCCCCCTTTCTCTGCCCATGCTTATTCTCTTGTCCCCCATGCTTATTCTCTCTTAATAAATACTGCATTTCTCATATTTTAAATTACGAGTCTAATTTTTGAAGTTATGCAGTTGTGTATAATGTAATTAGATAGGTGCTTATTTTTCTTCTTAAAATGTGCTTGAAAAGTGCTTATAGGTGCTTATTTTTTGAACTAAAATGTGGCTATGAACCCTGTTAGATATTAACTGTTTTTGTAATTTTAACTATAACTGACAAATAGTAGTAACTAACTGATAGATTAGATATTAACTTACTTTTTAGATAACATTAACAAGATTTAACTACTTTTTTTTTCAAAAGTTGATTAAACATATTTCAAAATATTTACTACCTGTGACATCATTTAAGTTTGAACTGTGAGATTTTTTAAGTTTGGTTTATCTTTCTATCTAAAATGCGTACACCATGGCATGAGCCAAAAGATGCAAGCTGAAACGATATTTTTTAGCTGTGTGTTAGTAAATCTCTGTTTCACCAGTTTGATTGTAATTAAAAAATAAAAAGTTTTATAAAATAAGCTCTTATTTAAAACACATAAAATATATAGTGATATAAGAAATTATCATATAGTTTAATGGGGACAAGATATTTTATCTTTACAAAATTCATGTGCAATTTTATATCATGAATAATAATAGTGGGGCATCCTTAATCAATTTATAAAGATATTAGCCTGTACTTTTGGCAATGCGATTCAATGATTAGATTTCATAATTTGGGTGCCCACACTTAAAATTATTTGTGATGTAAAATTGCAGATAAATTCTGTGAAGAAAATTATCTTTTATCATGTTTCTATTATACTAAATTATAAATTTTCTCCTTTTAATTCATTAAATATAAATTTTACATGAAACATTTTTTTATTAAAAAAATTGCTTTATTTTCTTTGTAGTCTCAGTCACATATTATTAATCAACTGTTCAATTGAAAGATAATTTTTAACATTGAATATCCACTCGTTATTTCCATCAATTCTGTTATTATATAATTTTTAACAATGAATATCCACTCTTTATTTCCATCAATTCTGTTATTATTTACATCTCTTTGATAAAATGTGATTTCTAACTTAATGTTAACATTTATGTATATAATCTCTGATAAAAAATTAAATATATTATTAATGTATGTATTTTTTGGCACTATACTTACGTTCTTTCCATTTCTCTAATGCATTATTATTGTACATTTTCTATCCTGTCTTTGCTGTCCGACTCTTAATTTAAGTCATTCTTGTGATTTTACTGTGCTAAGAATAATGTGCACAAAAATTAATATGGCAGGTAATGGTAACTTCAAATTGTGTTTTCCTGAAGAACCAATGTTTTCCCTTCTGCTTAAGGTCACAGTGCAGCATATTTTTTTTTAATGTAGAAAACATCACAATTAATATTTTTTTTTTGTCATTCTTGTTTTAAAAGGGAGTGAAGACCTTTGTTTTATAATCTTTAAAAATCTCAAAACTTTAGAACTGATAATTTTTAGATGTTGAAATTTTAAGAGTAGAGTCATGTTGTCCAAAAATGGAACAATTTTCGAAAATTTGCCAAAAAACTGAATTTCACTTTGAAAATTTCAGGTGAAAATCATTCAAAAAATTTTTTTTATGCTTTATCCGATTATCCAACAAGTAAAATCCTAAGATTTTTAGTTTTTTTAAATGAAGGCATATGTAGAAAATCATTAAGAAGATGTCAGAAAGTGTTATTTTTATGGTTTTGAAGCGTTTATAAAATACTGCAAAAGTGTAATTCAGTACAAAAAATTCTCCTTTAAAAAGATGCAAAGCCAATCATATATAGTTCTGAACAAAAAATTAGTCTAAAATCTTTTCTGAGTGTACATGTTGTGGGTGAAGGCATCAGGAATTAGAATATAAACTCAAAATTGTATTCTAACAGATGATTTTCAAGATGGCATTGGTTGAATATATAAGTGACTACATTTATTTTTCTTATTGGAAGTAGAAAATTAAATTGCTGAGAATAATTATACAGAAATAAATGTGAAGAATGCTGATTGATATCTTTAGAAACTTGTTCTGCTTTTATAAGTTCATAAAGCTCATAGCTTTATCATGTAATGTTCTAGTTGAAATTGTGATTCATGAAACCAAAAGAATGAACTGTGACAATTTTGAATTGTTGTAATTGAGACAGATTTTTTAGTGAACTAAAAAGGAATGCCTTTCATGGCAATGAACTAGTTAATTTCATCCTGTAGAAACTAGTAGGAGTGTTGGAATCATTGAAAGTACTTCAGAAATCATATACTTTTAGCTCAGATTTTTTTGCGACTACCTTTTTTTTTTTTTTAACTAACAGAAATTTTGAATTAAGAATTCCTTGTATTTAATCTTTCCTTCTCATAGCATGTATTGTTCTATAGTTTCAAGTGCAGTACAATGTAGATCTACAAAGTTGGACTAATTTTTTAATAAATTTCAGCAAGCATACCGAATGATACACTACCCGGCATTAAAAATGCAACATCCAAAAGAAGTGGCCAGAAAGTTATGAAACTCGGCGAAAAGGGAAAAAGACAGCAACGTACAATAAGCGATCTTTATTTCAAGCTGATATACATAATACAGAGCGAGAACAGCATTGGCTCAGTAGGTTTTAGCTTAGTTTAGAATGAAATCTATCAACTTTGGATGGTGATAAAGGAAGTAACACATCTAGATACAAAGAGACTACAGATGGCGTCCTGAGGAATGGCTCTCTATTCCTTGTCAACCATTTGCCACAGTTCCTCTTCTAAACGTGGCAATGGCAGGGTCTGCAAATGGTGTCCAATCACGTCCCAAATGTGTTCGATTGATGAGAGATCAGGAGAGAATGGTGACAAGGGAAGCATCTGTACATCTGGTAGACCACATTGGCTGATGCGAGCAGTGTGTATTTGGGCATTGTCCTCCTGATAAAGGGCACTGAGCACTCCCGGAAGGTAGGGAAGTGTCACTGGCCACAGTACATCATCCATGTATCATTGGGTCGTTATAATACCCTGAGTACAAACTAGAGGTGACCTCCAATCGTATGCAATTGCGCTGTTAAACATGATACTGCGTTGTTGTGCCGTGGGGCATTCCACGATTGCTGCCGGATTGGACCTGTCTCCACATCGATGCTACACTTCTAAGTGGCGATCATCCTTTGTGAAACAGAAGCATGACTCATCTGAGAACACAACCTGGTGCCATTTCATCATCCACATCGCTCGAGCCTGGCACAATTGCAGACGTTGCATCTTGAGGTCAATGAAAGTCTTTTTAATGGACACCACAAGTGCAGGCCACTAGCCACCAATTGACAGCAAATGGTTCTAATCGATATGGGAACATCCAGGGTGTCTTGAACATGCTGCAGAAGGGAGGTAGAAGTGGCTTGCAGGCTGGCTGCAGAGGCACCCCTCGAGTCACTTTGGCTGCAGAGGCACCCCTCGAACTTGCCGCATTTCCGTGTTCCAATTATCATCACTACAGTCGGTGCACATTGGACACGTTCAGGTGTGTGTCAGCTGAGATTTGCCATATGGACCAACATGTCCTTCTCAGTCCAATCGCCACGCCCCTCCTAAAATTGTCTGTTTGCTGGAACTGCCTCTGTTGATGTTGGCTTGGGATTCTCTGCTATTACACACATCCTCTGAGACAAGAACAAATTTTTTATGATTTCCCTAGCAGAAATAACAGCACGGAAATTGAACATTCTACAGGTTCCTTCCTTTTTATCTCCTTCAACATGCATTGGAGAGGTGCACATTTTACATCATTCGCATAACTCGGTAATGTGCCTCTAACTTGAAATTTGCAGAATTTTCAGGCCGCTCCTTGCTGTTGAATTTCCAGTGTCAGGTAGTGTAATTGACAGTATTTCTTGCTACGAGATCTCAATTCACATTTCCTAAAATGTTGTCTGCTTGTAGGCAAAAGTTTCTAATGTGGCTTTGAACCAGCAAACATCTGCTGTCATGGTTTCAAAAGAATCGCTATAACGTTTTGCTATAAATTAGGAAATTTGCTGAATTTTATCAAACAAACTATCACCAGAGATTTGGGATTTACTTAAATTGTGTTTCAAAATGACAAGTATATGCTTGAGTTGGAGATGACCACCACAACCACAGAAATTCCAGTTTCAGAAATCTCGGTAGAGACCATGTTAGCAACTTTTTTTTTTTAGAAAGGAGATAATATAGTAGGAGTTTATTCTTGAGGATTAAACCATGGGTTCTATATTTTATAAAGCCGTAATGGGCGGATTTCTGAAGCACTCAGTCAATCAAATAACTGGTTTCTACTGCACAGTAATGTGCCATATAATTCCATTCCCATTAAGCAGTTTCAAGAAAATTGTCAACTCCCAATTACACTTATTCACAAGATTTAATACCTGCAGACTCCCTTTTTTCCCCCAGAAAATGAAGGTTATTATTTTAATTGGATTGTGGAGTTTCAGAAAACTGTAATCAGGCTTTAACAGTATTACAAAGGTTCAGTTCTACAAAGGAATCAATCAAACAACTATATGAACACGCCAAGCCTTGTATAGACTTATTTAGGATTGTATGTTGAAGGCTAAGAAGTAAGAATGTTGTTTTCATTAACTTTTGCTTTTTTGTGAACCTAGTCCTAAAATTTTGTAGATGCACTATATACCTCCTTTCTATTTCAAAAGTGTTCCTTATCAGACCTAAATTAATTTATTTGTGTAACTAATCTGTGATCTAATTTATTTGTGTAGCAATTTATATATTATAGGTAATTTAATTTTTCTGAATTTTACATTAGATTAAAGGAACATTGTGAAGATGCTGAAAAATTGCCTATCTTAATATTTCCTGAAGGTTAGTTTTTTTTTCCCCCAAGATATAGCTATCTTATGTATCTGTCATATGTCTAAAGCACATAAATAATTAATGATTGTGTAGTTTTTATTTGAGCGAAAGTAGTTTGGTTGAAATTTTCGCTTAACCTGTATACCATCCAACACATGGTATCCATAAAGTCCTATGTATGTAAATATGTATCCTTTATTTTGACAACCGTATGTCGTAGACATATATTTCTGATTACAAAAATGTTTTAAATAATGCAACTATTCACATTTTGATATTTTTAAATTTAGAAAAGCGACTTTATTAAGGTCATGGAATATAAATTTTTATAAATTTCCCTAGTCCCTATAGCTAGAGTTATACTTAGTATAAAAAATAAACCACAAAATGTTCAACTTCCACATGACCCAAATCAGCTAAGATATTTAATTTGCAGTGGATTTTGGCCATATATGAGATAATTTAGTAGATAGTAATTTTTATTGCAGGTATTAATTTTGTTAATAGCTTCATTAAAAATTTATGCGGATTTTGTGTTTCATGTACTAGAGCAAAAATTTCACCAAAGCATCAATTTGAAAGTAAGTTAAAATAGTTTGAGATAGGTTTTCCCCCTTTAATGTAGCGACTTTTTTATGATTTACTAATGTGTAACCTAGATTGATGATAATTCATTAGATTAAGATTCAAAAGCACCATTTAAGTGCAAAAGTGGTGGTTAATTAGTAGACTTTAAGGGAGGCAAATACTGATGAAGGTAGCCCAAGATCTGAATTGTCATATCCAGGACCCTTGAAATTGTCATATCAAGGGCATAAAACTGCTTTTCAAGCAGCTAATAAATTAAATTAACAGACAGCGTGGAAAACAAACCGTTTTCTGTCATTGTTGGCTCCAAAAACAGTGAAGCAACTACAAGAGACTTGATTTTAAACATTTTGTCACAGAAACTCATATGAGCCATTCTACTCCTGCATAAAGTCTTCACAAGGTTGGAATTTATGCAAATGATGTTATGAATTGTGTAAGTGGAAGCTGAAGCCTGGGATAATTTTTCTAGAATGCAAATGCTATAAGATTGTATGCTTTTATATATGAATAAGACTTCCCTTCTGAAAATTCGCATTGGTCAAAATATTTCATGACAATCTCCATAGCTATTTTCATTACATAACATATTAACATCAGAAACCTTTTTTTTAAATTGATATTTCATTTTTACTTAAATATAGATTTAAATATTTCACAGTTCACTTTGTTTACAACCCTTGAAAACTTTAAATATCTTGATTAACTTTTATTAGATGGGAGGTAAATGTTTTGTGTTTTATATATTAGAATGAGTATAAACTTTTACTGAATATAATCATGAGTGCTGTGAGAACTTATAAAAAGTTAGATTTCATAACTTTTATAAAAGTGATTTTTTTAAATTAAAAAGTGCTAAAATGCAAATATTTGTATCATTTAAAACATTTTTGTGATTAGAAGTATATGTTTATGACGAACAGTTGCAAAAATAAATGGTGCATAAGTATATTTATGGGCACTGTGTGTATACATTCAACTGTATTTATCGTAGTACCTTTAAATAAGTACATATATGTGCATTATAAAATATGCATAAACCTTAATGCTGCATATTGTATGAAAAATAGTCTTGATGGAAAGTAGCTGGAGATTTTAGAAAATATTCTTACTTTTGGATTTTTGAGTCACTTTGATTTTTCAGGTGGAAACGCTTAAAATAATAGAAGTCTTTAAAAATATTTTTCTTCTGTAAATTATTATTTAGTTAACTCATTATCTTTTTATTGTTGTTGCTTTTGTATTTTTTTCCTGTTTCTATTTCATTGCTTGAATATGTTACAGATTTATGGGTATTAAGTTAAAATGAAGGAAAGGTGTTTTAGCAAGACATTTTTTGCATATAATGATAGTTTTTAGCCAACTGCCGAGTGCTGTTGGCCACAACTCCTGGATTGATGAGTGCTATCACTTACTGCAGGCTGAGGTGAAAAGTTTGGTGTGATAATCCCATATCAATTGCTTGTTTGGTAAAGGAGATAATACAGTTTCACCAATTATGCTAATTGACGTATACATGTTGAATTCATGTTAAGTGAGATTTTCCATTAATTAATATTAATCTAGGTGGTATACAATATTAAAATACTCTTGACTCCCAGAAATTAAGGAAGGGCATAATTATTTATAATACATAAAACTGCAAAATTTACATCATGTGTAGATAAGTAATTTGTTTTATTTCACAATGCTTTACTTTTTTGAAAAAAATAATCGAGAGCTGTATTGAAAAACTGTATCATGAGAAGAGCAGAAAAACTTCTGGTAAAAAAGCTGAAAAAATTATTCGGCAAAATATGTTAACCTCTGGTGTGAATGCAGGCTTTGCACATACTATCAACCAAGTTTTGAGACACTTTCAGATAGGAGTAAAGCATCTAACTCTCACTGCAGTGCAATTTATTTCAGTACAACTCATTTGATGAAATTCCCAGAAGTTCTGCATTTATTCTTTTTTGCTTTTTTTGGCTCTAAACAATTTTTTTAAATCTGTTTATCTAAAAATATTTGAAAATTAAGGTATAAAGTGCTTTTTCAAATGTATTTTTTTAAAAACTTTGTTTAATTTTAAAAGGTTAGAATGTTCTGAGATACATTGCTTGGTGGCCCTATTATCACAATCTGATTAATTATATGGGTATTAAGTTTATGTTACTTTTTTCAGAGCTTTTTCTCTCAATTGTATTAATGATTTGAATGAGTAAGCTAAATCCCTTCGAAAAATAACTAAAGGGGGAGGGAGAGCAAAATACTGAAAGATTCAAGTCGTTAAAAATCTGATAAAAATATTACAAAATAAAAGATTTAGATTAGTAAGCAAAACTGAGTCAGCATAGTGGCAAAATATTAGATCTTCCTGCCAGTTTTTTTTTTTTTTTCCACCTTGTAATTTCCAGAAATTAATTGTTTTAAAGGGAAAAAAATTATCGCCATATTTTGAAAAAATAAAATTGAAGGAAGTTAATAGTGTATGTAAAACATTATACATGGGGAATGCAAATAAATAAATGAAGAATCAATGTCGAAATGAGATGCTTGAATTCTGCCATATTTCTATTGATCCTGGATATCCTGCTTAAGGGCCTAAAATTTAAACAAATTCTTATACTTCAGTCATGTCATGTAGTTTCATTATTACAGGGAGCCCACCAGTGGCCGAGTGGTAAAGTCGCTGAACACTGTTAGTTCGGTCCGAGGTTCGAATCCCGCGGACGAGCTGGCTGCATGGGCATTTTCGTGGTATTCCCCATTTGTAACGTGTTAACAAGCCAGTTTCCCATAGAAAGTCCTCCACGAAGACATCCCTCCCTTTTGTTAGTTTGGTACATTTATATGTACCATATTGGCAACACCAAGTTTCTTCTCTGCATGCGAGCTATGGATGCCGTTGTAATGTTGTGCACGTGTTGTTAATTTTCAATAAAAAATGTGAAAAGATACGTTTCTTATTTTTCGACTTACTTCTTCATATGATATCGATTTATTTAACACCTTCAGGTAGATACCCCTTGTGTGCTTTGGCATAATTGAATAATCCATTATTACAGGGTTTGTTAGAGATTTTTGTCTCTAATATTACTAGAAGTTTCTACAGCAAGAAAAAGAAGTAGAAGTAACTACTGTATTACATTAAATAAGAACTAAACTAAATAAACATTTCAAGGAGGAGAGATGATGTAGTAAAAGGTTTACAATAAGTTATATTTTCCAACACATTCTACAAAATAAGAACAAGAATAAAATAAAATGCACTTACCGAACAGCAGAAATACAGCACTTTTTCGAACAGCAGAAATACAGCGCTTTTTCGAACAGCAGAAATACCAATTTCATGCCGCCATGTAATCACTATCGTATTTATATGACAGCCAGACACACTATCCAGAAAATTAATACTGTGGTTCACAAAGAAATAAAATAACAAATAATCACAAATCCCTACTTCTATCATGTGCAGCCACTAAAAATAATCTCCCAGACCCTCTTTCCACACCTTCAAATACCCACTGCCCTTCAACAGGATGGCCACGATGATATTTCCTTTTGCCGAACTTCAATTCAACAACTTCCACCATTTTGTCTTTCTTCCCTAGCTTCTCAGACAAAGAGCATGGTGCAAACAAGCAATCTCCAGCGAAAGATTTTTCAATGTCAACAGGGTTGCCATACAACGCGCAATCGCCCGAAAACCAGCACAGAACACATATCGCCACATTTGGTGAAATTAGGGCGTATATCAGAGTTGTACCGAATACCAGAAGAAAAGAGAAAGTCTAAGTGGGATAAAAAGGCTGAATTTGGAATTTTACTTCGATATACGGAAGTTGGATATAGAGTTTTGATGAATAACAGAATAATAGTTGCCAGGCATGTTGACATTATTGAAGAAGACATAATGTGTGTAGGTTGTGATGATGAAGATAAGAATGATGATACAAATAAGAATGAACCTCAAGAAGTGTCATGTGAATCGAGTAATAATAACTCCAAGGACAGTGTGATAAATGAAGATGAAACAAAAATTGGAATGAGACCAAAAAGGCAAATCAAACCACCAGTTCGATTTCATGAAGAATTCGGGTACAACTGTGTTAGTGCAAATTTTTGTGATGCTACAGTTCCAGGTAACTTTGAGGAGGCAACAACATGCAGTGAGGCTGGACATTGGGAAGAGGCAATGGACAGTGAAATGAACAGTCTTGTTAAAAATAACATTTGGACACTAGTGACTAAACCAGAGGATAAAGCAATTCTAGATGTGAAGTGGGTATTGAAAAGAAAACCAGGTAATGTTTTTAAAGCTAGATTAGTGGTTCAAGCATCCGTGAGGATTCCAGCAAAAAGATAGTATTGAGGATACTTCTTACTCCCTGTCATTAAGATGCAAACCTTAAAACTGTTACTTTCATATTCTTGTCAGTATAATTTAAATATTCATCAAATGGATGTTGAGACTGCCTTTTTAAATGGTTATGTTGTGTCTGAGGTTTTTATGTTAAACAGCCACAAGGCTATAATGATAATTCAAATAGAGTGTATAAATTAAAGGAAAGCACTATATGGGTTGAAAGAAAGCCCTCGTGCTTGGTATGAGTGTTTTAATGAGTATATTGAGAGTTCTAGGATTTTCGTAGAAGTAAATATGATTATTGTCTTTATGTAAAATCTGAAAATGATGTATTTGTATATATTCTTTTATTTTTTTGATGATTTGTTGATATGTTGCAAGAGATACTCAAGTAATTGATGATATTAAGGATATAAGCAACCTTCCTATTAAGGAACAACTACATAATAAATTTAAAATGAAGGATTTAAATAAAATAAAAAGCTACATTGGAATTGATATTGAATATGATAATGAGAAAAATAATATCTTAACACTGAGTCAGGAAAATTATATTGAATCTTTAGCTAAACTGTATGGTATTGAAAATTCAAAGCTTTATGATATACCAATGGAGACTAATCTTAAACTAAGCCAATCTAATTTAAATCAAAATGTCGAATATAGAAATCTAATAGAAGCACTCTTGTGTATTAGTCATGGTACTAGACCAGACATATCTTTCAACGTAAATTATTTAAGTAGATTTCAAAATTGTTATGATGAGACACATTTCAAATATGCTTTGAGAGTTTTAAAGTATTTGTACTTAACAAAACATCTACAACTAACCTATAGTAAAAATCTTAAAACTGATATTATGAATTGTTATGTTGATGCTGATTGGGCAGGTGATATTGTTGACAGAAAGTCAACTAGGGTTTGTTATTGAATTATTTGGTAATCCAATTTACTGGAAATCCAAAAAACAAAATTGTGTGACAAAATCTTCCACTTTTGCTGAATATATTGCTCTATCTGAGGCTGTGACAGAAATTAATTCTTAAAAAATGTTGTGAATAATGTTTTTGCTGATATAACTCACCCCATTAAAATTTATGAAGATAATTCAGGAGCTTTGGCCATTGCTAATTATGGGAACTTCACTAAAATTCAAAACACATAGAAGTTCAATATCATTATGTTCACGAAAATGTTCAAAATGGAGTAATTGAAATTGTAAAGATTGATTCAGAAGCAAATATTGCAGATATCTTTACTAAGTCTTTAGGAAAGATTAAATTTATGAAATTCAGAGAAGGTTTGAAATTGAAATAAATTTTGTATACTGTTTATTTAAGTGATGTTAATTTAAATATTTTTGCTTGAAATGAAATAGATTTTTGTAATGTCCTTATGTAAACTAAATTGTGTTTAACTTTGATTTTAACATTTAAGTTAATGAAAGAAACTTTTTTAAAAATAATTTGTGTTAAGTGTTGAATGTTATTGTTTATATCTATGCTTAATTGTAAATGGTAAAGATGAAAAGGTTGCTTATATCTATGTTTGTTTGTAATTAGTAAATATAAATGTAAGGTGGCGTGTTAGTTTGGTACATTTATATTTACCATATTGGCAACACCAAGTTTCTTCTCTGCGTGCGAGCTATGGATGCCGTTGTAATGTTGTGCACGTGTTGTTAAGTTTCAATAAAAAATGTGAAAAGATACGTTTCTTATTTTTCAACTTGCTTTTTCATATGATATCGATTTATTTAACACCTTCAGGTAGATACCCCTTGTGTGCTTTGGCATAATTGAATAATCCATTATTACAGGGTTTGTTAGAGATTTTTGTCTCTAATATTACTAATATGGTGCATTAAATACTAATATATCAGTGAAATGTATATAACTAGAGTTAGAAATCCTGATAGATGTAAAGCCTGAAGTTCGAGAATTTATGGTATGGGCATAGTGCATTTCTGTATTAGCTTTTGAACTATGTCAAGCATTATATGTATTGCATAGTAGAAAATTGCACATTTCTATGTATTTTTAAATGAGAAATTTGAACATATGATAGATACATGAGTAACGGGCAGTTTAGGTTTAATGAGTTAATTCTGTAAAATTATGTTACAGGCACCTGTATAAATAACACATCTGTGATGATGTTTAAGAAAGGAAGTTTTGAAGTTGGTGGTACCATATATCCAGCAGCAATCAAAGTAAATCATTTTGGTTTCTTTTTAAAGAATATGACATTTAAAAATTCAGAAGATGAAATATGAACTGTTATAAACAAACAAAGCAAAATAAAAAAGCACATTTTCTTTTAAATTTCAAATGATATTTATGACTGTCATATAAATATTTTCATACAGGAAAAGAAAAATATCCATCTACAATCATTTAAGATGTTATACTCCCCTGATCTCGCACTTCACCTTCTCATGGGTTGATATTGTTGGAGGATACAAATAGAATATTATTACAATATTTCTCTTTTGATAATGATAACTGGTCCATAGTTCTTTGTCTGCTTCATACAAATATATGTCATATCTTTTTTTGTTTCGATTTTAGATTGGAGAGGTTTTTCTGGTAGGTGTTGTATTTTTATGGTATCATTATCATTTCCCTGAAATGTTTCTTCTTATACATCAAAAATAATTTTTTTTTTAAAGATGGTAAATTTATGCAGTAATATGTAGGTTGTATCTGCATGCTTTCTTTGCTAAAAAATTAAACAGAAAGACTTAGTTTAATTAGTGGACAGTAATGGATATTATTTTGGTTTAAAAAGAGAAGTGATATTTTTAATAATCATCTGTTGACCTTTATGTAAACAAAAATTCTTTCTCCTTCACAGAAGGCAGGATCTTGGATTTATGTTTTGTAGAAACCATGCAGTAATGAGGAATATATTTCTAATTATTTTTGAAAAAAAAAAAAAAAAAAAAAAAAAAAAGTTTAGCCTTTATTAGTTTATATAGCTTTATTTATTTTTAGAATAGGCACTTCGGGGTCATTAATCCCTAACCTGGCTTACCTAGTAACCATTGTAATGACAGCTGTGACAGGTAGTCAATTATTCTAATTGTTTTTTCCTATTTCATTTCCATTTGCCATGTTTCAGTTTGTTAAAAGCACATTAATAAATGCTGATTTGAATGATATTCTTGAATGAAGTGTGGGAAATCAGGGCTGTGTGATGATGACAATACACTTTAAAACCACGCTTCAGAGAGGTTAAAAAATCCTTGAACTGCCTATTTTAAAATAACATGTAAGTGCATCTAATTTTAAAGCATCTAATAAGTTGCACCTACATTTGATTTAGATTTTTTTTTTAAACTGCTCATGTACTGCGTATTGCAGGGATACAAGTTTATGATACTTTTTGTATGTTAACTTGTTATGTGATAGATAATCTTCCAAATTATTTAAATCACGTGAACAAAAAATTTTGATTAAAGTGCATTTCCTTTGGGGATATTTAGGTAGAATGCTATGTAATTTTAATATTTGTCATATGAAATTCAAGTAGACTATGAATCTTGACATTACTTGAAAAAAGATCTCATCATTTCTTCAGATAAGGAGTTAGAGTTTAACAAAAACAAATAGGTTTTTTTTGTTGAGGGGGGGGGGTTAACATTAGCTTGGAATTATGAAGAATGGAAAAAGTAAGTTAATGTATAATGATGAATGCGGCTTTGATATCTGTGTGTGTATGTTTGTAAGTATACATTATTAAAAGTAACATTAACATATATTTGTTCTAAACTTGATAAAAACATGTTGCCTACGGTATCATATGCATTAAGGATGTATTTTTCTTGACTAGTTTGCCGCAGCTTTTTGGTTAAAGATTTACTACCATTTCATTGTGGTTTTGTTCATCACTTACAGGGCTTTTTTTATATCATTTTCTGAGGTCATTAATATATATAGTACAAAGTCTGCAATGCAGAATTGTTGGGACTTTGGCAATTCTGGATTTTGGAAATTTCCAGATTTTGGGTCATCAATTTAAATTTAATAAGGTCACATGTAGAAATTATAAATAAAAAAATGTAAAATGTTTGAAATTATGGAGCATTTATGATCTTACAGGAACTAAAATTTGCATCAGCAGCAACAAAAAAACAACAGGAAAAAATAATGTAACATTTGTTTTGTTGTATTAAATATTTTTCAATGCGTTTTAAACAGTTTCATTTTATGTTAACACTTTCCCTTTAATTTTATAGCGAGAGATAATTTCTTGTTGAGTTGCAACATTTCATTCTTTGCCATGCTGTAAATTCTATATAACTAATCATTTGAAATCTTTTTATTCTCAACAACCTCTTTATAAATTTCTTTGCAATTGATAGTGATATTTTCCAAATATATACTATGGGTTTAAACCCATAGCGTATATTTTGTCACTGCTAATTAATTGCTAATAGGGACCTTGTTATTGCAATAAAGACTTTATTCAAGTGATTTTCATTTAGCATTTCTTCACTTGTTCCATTAGTTAGAAAATTTTGTGGTTCTCTATCAAAGCCACTTTTTTTTTTTTTTGTGGTTTCTTTGCTTGCTTGCATATTACCTTGGCACCAAGTGTCATCAATTTGGCTTGACTTCTTTCCTGATGTAGCTACATCTTTGTTTTTCTCCTAAAAAAAATTGAAATGGATTTTTGTGGTTTGAGTTTTACCAATAGATAAACAAGCTTTTATCCTGTTCCTTCAAGAATGAGTTATGCTACCTAAACAATATCGTTTGAATAATAACTTCATGAAATTAAACTTTGACTTGAAACTGAAATGGCAATATTTTTTGACCGATGTTCTCTAGTTGATTGACAAATGTACACCTTTCAATGAGTATGTTATCTTTTATTAAAATTCTTATCTTGATATTATAACAATAATATCCTGAACAAAAGAATAAGCTGATTGAAATCAGAAAGTTAAGACTGTAATTCCCAGTAGTAACTTAATTTAGCTTAATTGAGTTCTCCCGTTTTTGCTATGCAAACAAAGGAAAACCAGTATGCGTAACATTCCATTCCTAACAAACATCTGTTATTGGATTTCACTTACTGTGTGTAAGACTAATAAGATAGCAGAATGCTCAATTCCCCCCTCTACAACCAATTGAGGGCTACAAAATTAAAATGTGGTTTATTAACTGACAGGCAAAATGACATGCTGGATTATTTGTTGCAGATAATGATCTTTTTAAGTAAAAGAAGTATCTCAGCTAACTGCACCAAAATCAACTTGCCTCACATTTGTTTTCGAGTACCGTATTCTTTGTTCCTACAATGTGAAAAAAGGAAAATAAAAAAAAAAAACAAAAAAGTTTTTACATGAGGTCTGTGTAATAGATCGTTCCAGTTACTAGACGTCTGGATTTCAGACTTTCTCCTGTATCATAATTTTTTAACCTTTTTTGACTTGCTGCCACTTTTAATACAGTGTCACCATTAATTTGCTCAGTGCCCACGCCCCTACCAACCATTGCGTTGTAATGAAGCTATACGAGGCGTATTCAGAAACTAAGTACCGTTTTGGGAAAAAAAAATAGTAAAACAATTTTTTCAAATCCAATTTTATTTTTACATGAAAATACATGTCTTAAACTATTTTTCAACATGGTTTCTGCCAATGATCAAACACTTGTCATAGCGGGTGACCAGTTTTTGTATACCATCATCAAAGAAACTTCCCGCCAGTTTCAATAACCACGACTCCACAGCATTTTTCGTGTCATCGTCAGATCCAAAGCACTTGCCACCAAGCTCGCGCTTCATGTGCAGGAACAAGTGATAGTCGGACGGCGCCAAGTCCAGGCTGTACGGCAGGTGATCGAACTGCTCCCAATGAAACTGTCGAATTAACGATTGAGTGACACCAGCAGTATGGGGCTGAGCATTGTCATGGAGCAACACAATTCCTTTACTGAGCATTCCTCTTCGTTTGTTTTGAATGGCACGCCTTAGTTTTGTTAAAGTCTCACAATATCGTGCCACATTAATGGTTTCACCTCTGGGGAGAAATTCAGTAAGCAAAATGCCTTTCCTATCCCAGAAGACAGTGCACTTGATTTTTTGTGATGACATTGTCACTTTGAACTTTTGTTTTTTCGGAGAATGAGTGTGTCTCCACTCCATCGATTGTTGTTTCGATTCTGGTGTGAAATGACACCCCCAAGTTTCATCACCTGTCACAATTTGGTTTAAAAAGTTTTCTCCCTCATCACTGTACCGCGTGAGAAATGTCAGGCCACTACCAAGTCACTTTGTTTTGTGAATATCAGTGAGAATTTTTGGAACCCATCGGGAACACAGTTTGTGATAATTAAAGTGGTCAGACACAATTTCGAACAAAACAGTACGTGAAATTTCTGGAAATGCCTCTGAAAGAGTTGTCATTGTGAAACGTCTGTTTTCATGAATTGCTTCATCAACTTTCCTTACCAAATCATCGGTGAAAACAGAAGGCCGATCACTCCGAGCCTCGGCATGGACATTTGTTCGACCTGCATTAAACATTCTTACCCTCTTTCTCACCATTCCATCACTTATCGCATATTCACCGTAAACTTCTGTCACTTGACGATAAATTTCAGCCGGTTTAACATTCCTTGCGTTCAAAAATTTAATCACGGCACGAATCTCACAGTCAGCGGGAGAACTAATTGTCTTAAACATTTTGAATGTGCACAGCAAACTGAAATCAACATAGAGCAACCAAAATGGCGACAATTGAAAGTCAGTGAACAAGAAAGACTATTGCGCGGAACGCCTACCACAGCGCTGCGACGGCGCTAGAATGAAACGATGCTTAGTTTCCGAATACGCTACATATTAGATGTCCTTTGGATGTAATCTCTTAGGCACTAGCTGAAAACTTATAAAAATTAGTAGGCATTTTTCGCACTCAAATTATCAATTAAATTTCATTGTGCTGTATAGAAACTGAAGTTTAATGATTAAAATTGCAAAGCATTTAACAAATGTTGCAAACACGTGTGCAGATATTTGTACATTGTTGAGTTAGTGGATAAGACCACTGAACAGTGGTAGTTTGGCTCAAGTTCAAATCTCGGTGAATAGGCAGGCTGCCTTTTGTCTTAAATTTTAATAAAAAATTACATTTAATTTGCATTATATATGCTTATATTAACTTTTTCATCAAGAGTCTGTTGAGTTCTTAAAAAGGAAACTACTTTTTTGACCCTCCAGAATTTAGCAGCTGTCATAATATTACAAAGGTGATTGTATTGCAATTATATATTATTTAATAGGATATATGTAATTGCTCCCCAATGCCATTTTGTAAACAATAACTTCCATTCCATAACTTATTTGCAATATTTTTTAAAACAATAAATCTATCATTCATAATATAATTTTATCACAATAAGTGGTGAAAAAAATCCAGTGTTTAAAAGTTTATAAAGTTATGAAAGTTATTGAAAAATCAATAAATTTCATTTCTGATTTTGTTTATTACATAGATGGAGTGAATTATATTTAATTTTTTTAATGTGTTTTTATTTTTGTAAAATTTTTAAGTTATTCTTTTAACTAATTATATTTGTGCTGACATTTTATTACACATGTATTTCAGTGTCAATGATTGCAAGTATTTCAGATGCACTAACAATCACTTCTTGCATTATATACTCTTTTCATATAATAAAAAGGGAGTTTATTTGGACTTAATTTGTGTGATACAATTGATTGCTGAAGAGAATGTTGGTTTAGTATGTAAATATTATATAGCAAGTTTTCTTTGGCGAAAACTTAATTTGAAAGTTACCGAGGAGGATAACTCCTGTTAACTCCTGTTATGGTTATAGTAGTAATGCTTTGAGAATTCAAAAGCAAGTTTTTTTTTAATCAAAGGCATATGTAATTAGCAAATTTTTGTGTCTTCAAGTAGTACCTTAATTAATTTATCTTCAGCACAGCCAACACACTCTATGCAGTTAGATTAGAGTTTTCTTAAAATGCATGTGGAAAACCTGGAAGTCAGGAATTTCTTTCTCATGGTTTTGAGTGGCAACCCTGACTCAATTTAGACCACATGTGTGAAGCATCAGCTGTCATAATTTGGCCTGATTCTTCTAAAGCTACATAACTGAAACATTTTGTATACTGAAAAAAATGTTTAAATATTTGTTTTCAAAATATTAAGGTAACCAAATTTTCAAAGCAGTGTTATTACCCACTTGTTTCTCAGTGCTTTCTTACTCTTCTTCAAACCAGTAATATCTTCCATCCCAGATCTCTTCAGTGATCAACAGTGGGTGATAAGGCTTAAATTTGGAAACTAAACCACAGTACTGCTGCTGTGCTTGAGAGATATTCTACAGGAAAGTGAGTGTTTGATATATATTACAGAAACGTAGGTGCTTTCATATATTTTTAGACTTCCCCCCAAAAAAATTGTTCGAAGACCATTTTTTGATCCTGTAGCGGTGCATCAAGGGGTTAAAGGAACATTTAAAAAATGTTTGAAGCATGTCAAAGCACTAGTATTGTGCTATTCATGAAAACACATTGAACTATGAAGTCACAGTATTTCCACCTTTTCATAAAAGGAATGCAATTTTTTAAGTGCACATTTAGGTGCTGAATATTAGCATTGTAAAAATCAGTTGCAACAAACTTTTGTTGGCTTATGATAATATCATGATATATTTTGCAATTAAATTTCATTTTCTTTCTTAAAGCACATAGACTCTAAAAGTAGTCAATGTCAGTTTCACTTTCTTTCTGACAAGTCATTCCCCTCGGAACAACTGCAAAATTCAAGATCTTCTTGATAGTTAAGACCAGAGCATACTGGATATGTTGTTGAATGCTTGGAAAAAGCTGAAGTCATAAACTTAGGAAAACAATACAGCTCAGAAAAAACACTGCAAAAGAAAAAAGTATTTAAAAAATATCGATGGTATGTTGGGCTATACATATGTGACAGAGTAAACGCTGTGGCTATAAATTCAGTAGAAGTTTGTGGCAGCTTCATAATGTTCCATACAGCAAGATGTCCTCTATGAGAATATTCTGTAAGAGATGACAACACACTAAAGCCTCGTTCACATGCAATGCTCTTTCGCACAGCCACAGTTTGTATTAGGTAGAACGGGGATATGAAGCAGTTTCGCCTTCAGGACCGCTTCAGATGTATATCGCCTTCCATCCCTTAACCCATAAGCCACTGCAAGCAATGAACGATGTCACAAACGCGACTCAGACTGGTGGATTTCTAACATTTACTTACATCTTTTTTGACATTGTTTACTATTGCTACAGAATGCCATCGAGTTTAAATTCTTTAATTAATTAAAATACACCTAAATTAATTTAAAATGCAATTTATATACGAGACCAAATGATTAAAAGAAGAAAAGAAACCACATATGTTGCTTAGCGGTTTTAAATAAAATATTTTGTGGTTGCTAAAATTTCAAACTTTACTTTTTGAAAAAAAATGAATAAAACAACAAATTAATAGCATTAATGGTAATTATAAATGTTTTAATATTGATTATAAACGTTTTAGAAAATATATTATAATTAATTCATCTGTTAAAATTGTTTTTGACATGTTTTACGAAGATTTTAAGTAAAAGCTTGTAATTTATGTTTATATTAACCAATTGAATAGCACTAGGTTTTATTTTATATATATATATGTAATGAAATTCAGTAATAAAATTTTTAAGAAATTTGAAATGATTTAGTGACCGTATAGACAGCTTATATTCTTTAAACTGTATTTTCTCAGTTTGCATTTTTTTTCCAATAAATTCTGTTATTTAAAGTCCTAAAACTTATATAGATATAGCCCAAATATTTTTACCGCATAATTAAAATTATATACTTTAGAGAAACAAGAATGGGTTTTGCAAAATACTGAAAAGAAAAATTATTTGAAGTGGAAATGTGATTGAGATTATATTTATTTCAAAGTTTTTGCATAAGAACTTTTTCTCAGAAACTAATTCAATAATTACAAAATCAATCCTTAAAGTTATTAAGAACTTTCTAATAAATACAATAAGAAAACATGGGAGAAAAAAATCATTGAAAATTGTAGGAGAAGAATGACATTTTAATTGTTAAACTTTTCTTCTAAAAATTTTAAATTAACAACAACAACAACCAAAAAAAAAAAAAAATACTGGCAAAAATATTTTTCTCAGCTTAAAATTATTTTGTCTTACAAAACCATTTAATAACACTCATAAAAGTAGATAAAAGTTCTTAAATAAAAAAATCATTCAAAAGGTACCGAGTCCCCCTGTCTAGTTGAAGCCAATATGCCCATCTTAGTTTTAATTTGAATGGTATTTCTGGAATACCCAGCATCAGATAACCTTGTCCGTACTTGTTTACAAATTTCTGTATTTTATACGGTTCTATGTAATTTTTTGGGATGATATTGCATCCTCAGATATCTACCAATGTGATTGTTTCGCTTACAGTCCAGCGAGCAGTCAGTTGCACGTCAGCCATGTTGTTTGATAAAACTGAGTGAACCACGCAATCGCGCAGTGCAGTATGGGAAATCCCCCCATTTGCCCTGCTTCCGAGAGGAAGGAACGTTCTACCTCCAATTCGGAGAAGCAGTTAATGCTTGTCGCCATGTGAATGGGACACGGAAGAACCAGTTTTCACTACCATTTAAATCTGCTCTTGTTAGCGGGGCCTTAGTCTAGCAGTAGTGTACTAGAAAAGTTGTGAGTATTTTGTGGTTAACAGGCTACAAATATGTAATCTATGTTCATTACAATTTCAACTGCTACATAACAACTATTTGTCATATGGAAACATTATCCACCAATAATTAAATTTTAATAGATTGAGTGTCCAGAAAAAGACAAAATATCAAGATAATGATATCAAATAACAACCTAGAAACGTTTTAGGAGTTTTTGTATTTAAAATTCATTTAAATCCTTTGTCAGTGCCATAGAAGTTAAAAGCGCTGGACTCGTGTGTTTTACATTGGGCTCTGTTCTCAGCAGACAGTTGAGCTATGTGGGGGGGGGGTTTCCATAATTTCGTCCATATGCAAATATGAGAGAGTTTTTCTCTGATAATCCTCCCACAGTGTTCAAAGAAAGGTGGATAGCATGGGATCTTTGTCATATCAGCTAAGCAATCAACCAGCTACTCACTAGCCAAGCCAACAGCTACATATTTAGAAATCCATTTTTCATGGCATCATGTAGAAAATACTAAAACTTTTTCACTGCAAAATTCAGCTTCTGCATATAGTCCAGCTAATGATAAGCCGATGAAAATGGAATTTAAAAAAATATTAGCGGTCTGTGTTTGTTTGGATACTGTATCTGTTTTGAATATCTTTTTCTAATTTTTCCCTTTTTGAAATCTTACTTAAATTTGAAATTTAATGAAAATTAATTTAATTAATGAAAATTACTTAATTTTGAAATCTTACTTAAAGACTGTTATTTGATGTTGTGTTGTTTTTTAAAGTCTTTGTATATTTAGTACACAATTTATCTGCTTTAATTAGTTTATTCTCTTAAATATAAAATCTTTAGAAAGCAGGAGTGCATGGTGAAATTTATTTCCTTTTATTGTAAAAAGAACATTTAGGAAAGCACTTCATAGACGGGAACAATTTATTATAATGAATATAAACAGTGTTTCTCTAGATTGTAATCTGAAAAGTATTTTACTTTTCAGTATGATCCTAGGTTTGGTGATCCATTCTGGAACAGTAGCAAACAAGGTTATGTGCATTATTTGTTGATGATGATGTCTTCATGGGCCATTGTCTGTGATGTTTGGTACCTCCCTCCAATGACAAGACAGGTAAATATCTTTCTATTATTTCCAGTCTTTACTTTCGATTTTTGATTATTTTTTCTTCTTAATTTAGAGTACAATTTATGGAATGATACTTTTGTATGAATGATGGTGTCTATCTTTTAGACTTTTTAAAACTTGTTATAAAGTTATTAAAATAAGTGCTTATAATTAACTGCCTGAAATATTCTAACAAAAATATGATCTGCTCTTTGCATGGCTTTTATATCTGCTTTTTGTGTACATGTTTTTTTCCCACTCTTGTCACAGATTACATGAAGGATAACTAAAGCCATAAATACAAAAGATTAAAAAAAAAAAAATACAGTTGCAGAGGACAATTCATGGACCCATTCAGTTCCTTGTTTTTCAGAATGATTTCATTTGATCCCAAACCATTGGATAGAAGAGCACGAAGACAGCAAAGAGCATTAGCTTTATTCATCTTAACTCAAAGATCACAGAGCTTACAAAAGGAGTATTGATGGGAAGTGTAGTGATGTGATATACAGGGTGATTATAATTAAAGTTGCAATTTCAAAACACTCTTTAAAACTACCAGTCAGAATGACTTGATATTTTACCAGAACAATCGTGAGACAATGGAATTTTGTTTGGCGAAGGAAAAAAGAATAGTTCCAAAATGTGCTGATAGATGGCGCTATCAGGTGCAAGGACTAATCGTTAAACACAGAAATGTTGTTAGCCAAAAGGAAATAATAGACCTCCAAGGGTTTATGACAGGTGAAAAGAAGTGTTCACAGCGAACACTTTAACGAATACGTGTGTACAGCGAAAACAATAATAGTGACAAGAGAAAAAGAGGAGCTTCATGAAGCAAACACCTTACGGATGATTAATGCATAAGTTATTCGATGTGGCCTCTGCCTTCTTTCGCTACTTGATAGAAGTGCAAAATGGCATGTTCTGCAATAGTTCAGAAGGTGTCTGTGCTGATGCTATGAATGTGGTACATTATGCTTGCCTTCAAGTCGATCAGATTCCCAAGCCACCTGCTATAAAAAACATTCTTCAGGTATCCCCAAAGCCAAAAATCACAGTCGTTTTAGTTGGGCGAACATGGCGGCCGTCCTGTAGGAAAATGGCAGCTTATGAATGTATGAGTGATCAGCAGCTGCTTCACACATGTAGCAATGTCTGAAGGCATGAATATTGTGCGATCCACACACTGACGCTGATGAATTGCCGGAAGGACATGATTAAGCAAAAATACGTAACAAAAATGATGCAGTTAACAGGACCCGCAGGTGTAATCTCTAAGAAGAATGAACCGGTGACAAACGCTGGCATTATTACGACCTAAACAAGTGACCTTTTTAGACTGAAGAGGTAATGGCTGTAGCAGGAACGGATTCTCGATCACTGATATCCTGCAATTTTGAGTATTTCCAGAACCCTGCAAATGGAAAGAGGCTTCGCCAGACCACAGAGTGTTCCCTGACCATCCATTGCCAAGTTTCATTCGGGCAAGAAATCATTGTGCAAACGATTCATGTGTTTCCAGGTCAGTAAGTAGCAACTTCTGCACACGAGTTATTTTGCATGGATAACAGCACAAGATGTTCCATAGGACATCACACCTTGCTGATAGGCATATCCAACATTTGTCCAATTCCCCAAGCACTGCTGATTCCTGCATCACTGTCCATCTATTCTTTTAACATTGTGGCCACATCTTCCACTGCTGCCACCGTAACTGGTTTTCATTCTCTACCTCGTTTCATGTCAAATAAACCGGTCTCTTCAAATTTGTCAATCATTTTCAGCAGGCCGTAAGTAGTCATGGGGTCGGATTTTGTGCCTTTTAATCTCCAGAACTTCCTGTTAGCTCTTAACATGCAGTCACCATTCTGATAGAAAATCTTCACGAGCAGAGTGCGATCTTTCTTTGTCAGTCATGATGACGCATTCAAGCAAAGCATTACATGTTCCGCTAGTGTTCTGCATTTTTATCACAGTTATATCTGTGGTGCACATATCAAGTCTTAGGAATGTCCATATACCTCCACAATAGCCATGTGAACCCTGACAGTGCCATCTGTTGGCACATTTTGGAACAATTTAATTTTTCGCCAAACAAAATTCCATTGCCTCACGATTATTCTGGTAAAATATCAAGTCATTCTGACCGGTAGTTTTAGAGTGTTTTGAAATCGCAACTTTAATTATAATCACCCTGTAATATAACTGTGTTTCTTTTCTTCTTCTTGGAGATTACACTATATTTAAATTTAATTTCACCATTGTCTTTGAAAACCTTTTCAAAGCAGTTTTTAGAGAATTCACTTTTAAATAGTTTCCTTGCCAATAATTTAATATTGTTGTAGAAGATCATATTAGATGCTTGAATGGTCACTACATCTCTTGTAGTCTGGGAGTTGACTCATATATTACCTTGAATTCCAACATTGAGTAGGAATCCACTAAAAGATGAACTTTTTATTATTTATACACGAGTCACTTAAAAGAGATTGCATTTTTTGAATGTCATTTTTTTGCACTGCAGCCTGTGAAGCTGCTTTTGAGCCAGAGAAAACCATTACAGTTTGACCCAAGTGGTGGGTTAGCCATGAAACAGCTGTGTATTCAGAGCTATTCCTCCCTCAGCATTCATGGCTGTTCTCATTGGGATATAAGATTTCTTTTTAATCCAAATTTTGACCTAATGAATCTGTTTTCTCTTCATATCAAAACAGAAACAGTGTGCCTTATTTTTACTACATCAGTATTTACTGGAATGAAATGAAGTTTGAAATTTCTGAGGGACTTGAAGTTACACTGATTTAAATTCAGATTCATTCTAATGAGATATCTGAATGAAAGTAAATGTTTATAGATCAAGTTGATGTGGGACAGCAAGATGCTTTATCTGATTTGATGTCAATTTATTTAGATGGGCTCACATTGATTGGTCAGGTAGAGAAGACTTCTGAATATTATTAGTTCGATCTGAGTTCACATCCTAGCAAATAGGCAATTTTAAAGTTTTTTGTGTAATGGGAATATGAGCCATTTTCCCACAAAGGCATTCCTTTCTTTCAGATTCCTCTCTTTAGATACCCTAGTGTGTTCTGCCATAATCAAATAATTCATTCCTTGGTAAATGATGATCCATAGTCACTTATAGGTACTTATTCACGCTTAGAATGATTCTCATTTTTTTTTTTTTTTTTTTTTTTTTTTTTTTTTTTTTTTTTTTTTTTTAATATTGTTTATTTCACACAACTCCAGTTTGCAGTGTACTGCTCTAAAAGTACTTAAGCCAAGTGGTTTAGTGAATTGGTTTACAAATTTCTTCAAAGATTTTGTCCAGATAACTAAATCATTTGTGTACAGGAGACATAAGGACAGTTAAGGATTAAAATTATAAGGGCATTAATCATCCAGCCTTCTTAAGGAATAGTCATGGCAGATTGATGTATAATCTAACTTTTAAACTAATATTGCATAAAACAATCGGAGGGCAAACTAATTGATTATATGCTCTTCAATTTTTTTTTCAGTTGAACACAAAGGAAGAACACAGCTTTGGTCTTCTTTTGACTTTAAATGAGCTCTTAACACATACTCTACTAAATGTTATTGCTTCTTTTGTAAACCTTTAAGTAAATATGGGTCTCATTAAATTCGTTTTCAGTTGTCTCAGTATTACAAGTTACTACTTGCTCTGGTATCATTAGTTTTGAGAAATTCATGTTACTAGTAATAAGTAATACAAAAATGCTGTAATGAACAACAGTATATTGGTATATTATTGTGTTGAAATTGATAGCACTGATAAATGCACAGGAGTAATTTTGTATAAGAAGCTTAGATAGCTTCCACATCTCAAACTCATTTATAAAAGACAACTATTACAAACATTATTTTAGTCTCTTTACACCACAAACAATAGATCCATAAAGAGTGGCTATGATTTTCTTAGGAAGGGAAGCACAGATAGCCACATTTCATATCACCCAGTTTTTATGACTTTTCCCCCTTTGTGGAGTCAGTAGCAGTCACAACAGTTCATTTATTCAAATACATGTGACTTGTTAATCAAATGTATGAGTGAACTGTTTATTTAATTGAATATGGCAAAATACCTAAAGGGAAGGATATCTTTTTGGAGAATTTTCTAAGGAAAATTGGTTTGTATTCATGTTACGCACAAGGAAATCATGAAGATACTCAAACATCCAGATTGTTCATCAGGATTCAAACACAACTCAGTCTGCAGCTGTTCAACCAGCAATCTTGTATATTCGGCCATTGTTGAGTGCAGATTTAATTGCTGTTGCAATCATATTGTAACTGTAGTAAATAACAGTGAAAGCCCTACTTTCTGATATTCAACTAGCCAGAATATTTTAGAATTCGAGAAACTCCCTCTCCTCTGTGAAATATTAAGGAAATGAGAGACTTGTAAAGCAATTAGAGATAATATCACCAAGCAGTGCAATTTAGCTATTTTAATGGATAAGCATGATGTCACCAACACAATCATAAGATCTTGGTTAATCTTGGTTTTATGTAAACCTGATTAATTCTCAACAAGCTTGTTTAGTTTTTTTTAAAGGACATAAGTTAACTGCTGTTTATCTTTTTTTACCTCCTATTTAAAAAAAAATTAAAATTCGGGACCTGCTTTTCACAGGCATGTGGTGAAATTATTTCCAGAGATCCTGTCATCAAGAAAAATGTGAATTAATGGACATGATATATGATTTTATTTGAAAATTGATAAACACTGGTGATACAAGAATGAACATTATAACCAATGTAATTTTTTAAGTGCTGTATCAAATGATTATGTAACTAATTAAAGAAGAATTTGTTCCTTTAAACTTCTGCCAGAATCCTTGGTGCAGGTTTTATGACATCTTTGTCAACTTTCATAGTTGATGAGGTTTCATTATCAGATGTTTTACTTTCACTTGTGTAAGGCATATAAAATTGTAAGCTTCTTAAACATATGTCAACTTTTATATTTGAAATGCATT